CTTATCTTAACAGAAAACATCTTTATTATTTATTATTCTAGAACTATGCTGAAACAATTAAAAGATAGGAAGAAAATCACTTCTAAACAGAACATTTCTTGTAATTTATAAATTTTTATGAAGCTAACAGCCGCAAAGAATCGGAAAAATAACCTTTTCTATACGAGAAATAATGTCCGCACTGAATCCGTTTGTATTGTTTTTGTGATACACTTAGTTGAACAAATTTTTATTCTAACGCCTTCAATTAGCTATTTGATAAGAAAATACAATATAAACTCTTTCATCCGGACTTGAGAGTGCTAGATTCAATTTGGATAAACAAAAATTCAGAAGATCCAAAATTTTAGAAAATTTCAATTGTTAAAGATAAAGAAATACATACAATACTAAAGATGACGTTTATTGAGTAAATATGTATTCATTCAGAAATACTATATAGTATTTTACGTAGAATACGATCATAATTTTGTATTATTAACTAAAATATTAAAAACAACGACTCGCGAGTGCTGTTATCATGTCACCAGTGTTATTATATGAAATGGTTCAGCCAGAGAATATGGGCCAAATCATTTATAAAAAAGAAAACTTTCCAGTGTTGAAGCTTTCTTTCTTTTTTTTTAAATTAAATTTTATTTATTTAAATGTTATTATATATTATCTAGATCTGAATAAATCAGAATTTCAATTAATTACGTTCGGATAAACGGAATTTCTAGTGTATAAATCTTGATATCTGATAGGTTATAGACGGTTAATTTTTATTAAGTAAAAATTAATTACAGGTATTCAAAATTAAAGAATATAAAAACTAAAATACAGTAGAGTGTCAATTAACCGATAGGATACTTTCGGATAACCGAGAACACTTGGTACGGAAAGAATAAGAGATAAATACACTAAATAAAGTAAAAATATTAATTTTAATTTTAGTAAAATAATAAAAAGATATTAAAACATAAAAATTGAATACATTCGAATGATTAAAAATAACAAAATATTGTCTAATTTATTAAAAACAAGCACTACGCTTTCCTTGTATCTGCAAAGTATTCAAAAAACTGAGTATAATAGTAAAATAAATAATAACCAGATAGCTCAATAGTGGACCTACAAAAGATTATTGACAAATCGTTATTACGTAGAAACTTCGTAATTTCTGGAATTACGAAGATAGAACTCTTTTAAGTCGATTTTTCGAGGTTCTATTGTAATCTGAATTTAACCATAAAACAAACCTTGCTTAAAAAAAAGGGCAAGCGTAAAATAAAATAGATGAATTATAAAAGCGTAAACCTTACAACCATATGTTATTATTATCTTAATGATAACGCGAAAATTAGAAATTTTTTTTAATGAAGTTTATGCTTAATTTGGTATAGAAATTTATTGTAGGATTAAGATAATATTATTTCAGTAAAGTCGAAGATTAAGAAAGAATACGGCAATAGACTAAAACTCAAAGATAAAATTCTCGATTTTTCTTTCCTAAAAAAATAAAAACATAATATAATTTAATACACGATAATAATATAAAACATGATTTTATGAGATTTCTTCTGATGCTTTTATGAGTTGCAGGTTTTTTTTTAATGTTCTATATTCGAATAGTTCTAAATAATAAAGTATAACATTAGGCTTTTTATATGTTATATTAATAATAATATATTTTAATTTTATTAAAAGTTTTTATAAATTAATCAAAGTAATATAAATATTTATGTAGTTAGATGCATTGTATTGTATTTAAAACATAAAGGCTTAATTGAGGAATTAAGTTACTTAAATTACAGTAATTCAAGCTTATATTGTGGTGGCACTTTATTTTATTATTGCTATTTTTTTAATATATATAAACAAAATTTATTTTATGTAAATCATGTAATATAATGTCTATTTTTATTATAATAATTTTTAATTACAAATAATGTTTATGAAAAATGAATTAATATAAGAATTTTCATAAAATAAATCAGAATATATAATTTTGTTTTTTGTTTAGTTGTATTAAATGTTAGTCTTTTTTAAAAATCCATTTGAGTAGATTAAAGAAAGACAAATATTTCTGTCACATAATATTTTGCTATTTATTTTTATTTATTTTCCAATTTATCTTTTTCTTATTACTTTATTTTTTTCAATTTTCCATTTAAATAATTACAAAAATCATTATTATAATTTAAGTCTAACATTTTGGCACAGGCCCTTGCTCAGGAATTTTAAAATGGTTGAGTTATTTTAAAGAAAAACAAATATATATTTTTTTTATAATGTACTTTATTAACTTTTATAATATAAGTACTGTACTGTACATTACATAGAGTAACACAATACAGTCGATCCGTTATTAAAAGATTTCTCAATTTGATGAAATATTTCAAACTACAGTAATTGTTTTCCGGAGAAATAATCTTCGAATTGGATTTTTCTTGTCTACAAAAAAATAAACTCTAAATTAAAAATATAATAATTAATTAGCGATTTCAGAAGTAATGAAATTTCTTCTTCTCTCAATCTCTAAATGTAATTATTTTTTGTGTTTACAGGTAAGAAAATGGCAAATCTTCAAGATTTTCCTTTTAAATTAAAACAAGTTTTGGTAATCCTTTGTTTAAGTGAAATAATTATAAAGATTATCTTTCTAAATAGACTTTATAATTATCTGTTTCAAACTTAATAGAAAAAGATTAAAGAGCAAAGAGATTCTTCTTAAATGATAATGCATCGGAAATATAATAGGCATTTTTTGACGATTGAAGCTTAATGCATTTTTAAAGACTCTAAGACAATCTACGAAAAAATTAAATTCAGAAAATTTATTATTAAAATTTGGTTACTCTTTTACTCAATACTTTATTGTTTCAAACTTTAACTGGCAACGATTAATTAATACATTATAAATCAGTTAAATTATATACGGAGGATTTTTCAAATTTTCATAATTATGAAACCGTAAATCATTCATTAGAATTAATTACTTGTTAGTTTTAGATTTTATTTTTCTATTTTAGAAAATATTCGCATTAGATCTATACAAACGTATCGATGGAGAAGAATGTTCTACTCTATCATAGTCCGTCCCCCAGGTAAAGCGGTAGGAGAACAACCCTTCATCTCTTCGAATAGATTCGTAAACAAAACCGCATTGGGTCGTAAAAATGCCAAACCGAATTAGTGGAGGGGTAGGAGTGAGTCACAACTCTTACGTTCACGCTTTTACGGCTGTCAAGCTCGAGTAGGAACCTCGCACTCACCCAACGAAAGGTGTCCTCGGGCCAAATTTTAGAACCAATAGAAAGATAACAAAACTCTATCATTAGGAAAGAAAAACATGAATCGGGAATCATATTTGATTTGTCTCTTTTTTTATTACCACAAACGTTTTCTATTTTATTCGTTTCGGATTATTTCTACTTATAAAATCGATAATAATTATTCTAATTAATAAAAATAAATAAATAAACAAATAAAACATCTTATTTAAGATAAAAGTATCTTTCTTCCAGTTGATCTTTTACAAGAACAAGTATAAATTTAATATTAACGTGACTCAACCGTCTCACCCGCTACTCTCCTAGGATCGCTTTTAGAGTAACTCGATTGCGTCACCCATTAAATTGGTTAATTTTTTTCCCCCGAATCCAATCCAAACCTTGTGTCTAGTCTGTAAAGAAGAAATTCCTATTTTCATTGTCGAGTATCTAATTATCGAAGACCGAAACGTCAACCGAGTAGCGTGACGGTGTGTAACGCGTGACGTCTCCATTTGATCGCTTCCCGTTTGCCATCGTGTAGAAGCGACGCGTTAGTATGCGGGCGACGTATTCTTTGTTCGATAAACAGACGTCACATAAAAATTTAATCCCCTAATAACTATTACCGTTTCTGCGGCAGGAATAATTCATAGCTAGGTGCAAAGCGACGCGTTTCTAACTCTTTTTCATAGTTATGGCGACGGAAAGTGTCGCCTCGACAACTCGTAAATATTTTTGGCGCGGTTTTCGTTCGTGATTTGCCTTTCTCTTTTATTCTGTTTCTATACTTTTGTCTTTACGTAATCTGCGTTACGCGGGTATGGAAACGAACCACCTAGTTTCGTACGGGTTTCTCCTCCGTGAAGTCATACCTTCACTTAATCACTTAGGTGAGTGACGTGGCTTTCCCCATCTACGCGTTCCTTCGCAGCTGCATCACTTTTCATAATCCCCGAATGCGTAATAAGCCGTCGGTTCTATAGGACGGAAACGTCTGAATCATCGCGATCAGATTTCGATACAGCATCAGTTCCGACTACACCAAAGGTACGAAAGCTATCCGCGCGACACAAACGGTGAATCAGATCCAATGTACTGTACTGTACGTCGCGCTCGGCGAAACATCGAATCGAATTAGGAGAAGCTCTAGTAATTATCCGGCTTCTCTTCCGCCTACACTTGTTGCTGAAAGGCGACGCCAGCAAAAAAAACAGTTTAGACGAGTAATCCCCATCCCCGTAATTAGCTTGTTCGACATTAGCTTCTTCTCTCTCGGACGCTAGAAGCGTTGTCGCCTCACGCTTTTTTCCGGATAAGAAATTCAATTAAAGCCGGATAATGTTCGATCCACCTTCCTTGATAAATCGGGATTTCGCCCAGGGAATTCTTGCCTCTCGACCAGACACGAATCGCGCCCCATTGAATATTAACCAGAGACTGTCTCGCATAATTACGCCACTTACAATTATGCTTCCGCGCGCTCATTTATTTTTCTGCGAGTGTAAAAAAAGAAATAATTTTGAATTTAAATCTTATCGAGTATTTTAACTGTAAAGGTTAATCAAATACGCAGCTTCAATTAACTAAAAGCTAACCGATAAAGAAACAAATTTCTTATAAAGTTTTAGCGAAGTATAAAAAATAAAATAAGTATTTGATTATTATGAATTTCATTTATTTTTCGAATGTAAAAATATACAGTGTGGAATATTCGTAGATAATCGGTTGAAAAACAATTACACAGACCCTCGCACGAATGTAAAACGGCAGTAAAACTTCTTTTTAATTCCATGTAGCCGGAAGATGATTCCTCTGTTCTCTCGACCGGTGCTGCTTCTGACAATAAATAAGTCGATAAATTCAAAATTTTACACCTTCCAGTTCGATTCGGCGCCGACTAATTAATTCTTCTAAGCAAATAAGGTCACTTGTCAAGCTGAACTCAAACGCCTTAAAATGATCATCTACGCTTTTCCATTTTCTTTCGATGGATGAATCTCGGATGCGCGAAATCCGAACCGCGTGTTCTCATACCTGGGCCCAATAGCAGCGGCTATAAACGTTGTAACTAGAAAATCGGGCCAGAAAGGGGCAATAATATGCCAGAACGGTCCCGGTAATGGCCAGCATATAGGCCCACCCCAATCTACAAGAGTCGGGAAAATATAAGTCCGATCTGTGGCCGCAATGCATACGACCGAAGTGAGAAGTCAGTACTAAAGGATATAACAGAAGAGCCGCCGTCTGAAGACACACTGAAAAAGAAAAAAAAAACAAAGTAAATTTCACCAAAACAAAATTATCATAAATGACAATAAGAAGAAACAAAGTAGCGTGAGATGTCAGAAAAAAAATGGGACAGTTTTGTCACGTGCCCGAAATACAAAACAATTTACGTGACGAAGTAGCGGCCGGCCACGTGACATTTATAACAAATACGAAGGTCGGCAATCTCGATCCGTCAATCCGAAGTTAAAGCGGAGTTCGTGCAGCTCTCCTCACGAACACCGCTCTCTACTTCTCGTATGCTAATTACTTCCCGGCCTCCCAGTCAACAAGTCAGAAAAAATATCTCTACATTAATTTTAATAACGAGGCAGAAACGCATAACGGGGGAAATATATCCAGCTTCGGCATTTTTTTTTCTATTCGAAATCAAGTAATTTAGTATTAAAAAAGGAATTTATGTTATTTTTAAGTATGGAGGAAAAGGAAATTTCTCGATTTATAATCGAAGAAACACTAAAACGAGATGCGGGTTGCCACCTATCGAACTATCGGAACAAACAATAAAAAAAAAAAAGATAGTCTTTTGGAAAGAGGCGTCATTCCTCTGGTCACCTGACGCGTCCAACCGTTACTCCAGCGAAGAGGTGAAAAGAGTGGTCATAAAGCGGAGAGTTTTCTTGGCGCCATTAAAGGATGCGGTCGGTTCGTTCTTCACTTTTGTGCCTCGTAAATGAATCTTGTCGGCCTATTGTCCACCGTAGTTGCGTAATTTTTTTTCTCTATCTCTTTGTGCGTCATTTATGATCTCAAATTGCGTTCCGAGAGCGTTATAGCAGGGATAACGACCGGACGCTATACAAAGCCTCTTCCATTTGCCAAACATTTTTATCGGAAACATCAAAGGCCGCTTGCAGACGTTTGAATTTCGTCGAAGGCCGATCTGTCGTATGGCACGAAAGCGTCCATTTTCTCATCGTCTATCGCCCCGAAAGCGAGCGGGCGGCCATAAAGTGGCCGGAGGGCGGGCCGCGTTTAATGGGTTTGTTGCCCAGGCGTTTAAGCCCGGTTGACGTGTCAAAACACACCTCGGATGAAGTGCCGCGACACCGACAAGATTTACAGCTGGCAACACTTCGACGCCCGCTGTGTTTTTGTCGTTACCTTGGTTTCCACGTGAAACCCATGCTTTTTTTCATCCTGCAGAAAGCGAAGAGGTTACTTGAATTCCAAATCGCTTTTGGAGTGAGGCCAAGACATAGGTTAAAGTTGTACGATTTTGTTCCACGCAAAGTAGAATGGCAATGCTCATTCTTTTGTTCATTAATAATTATTTTCTGTAGTAACAGCTATTAATTATTTCTATTTGCATAAAAAATGTGGAGAATTATATAAATTTAAAATATACTAAACAACAAATGAATGACAGTCAATTTCTTCTGTTTACTTTCGAGCTCGATTAACTACGAGAATTTTACAAAATTTCACTTTTATATTAGAAACCCGATTACGTAAAGGCGATTTAAGATAAAATTCGACGAGAGAACCGCAGTATTTTCACTACTTTACTTCCTCCGTCTTTTGAATAATAGATGCTCTTAGTCCTTTCCCGACATTAATACCGAATAATTAAATGCCATGTTTTGCATTAACTTAGCAACATGCAGTCGCATAATTGCATTAAACGTCGTTATCAGCTGTACTTTTTCCATAGTTTGCTTCTCTCCTCTTTCGATGATTGATGCTCTTCTCTACTCGGTGAATGTTTAAAATTTGCAGAAGTCTCTCACTTGTTGAATAAACAACTCTTTGAAATTGAATTTCCTTTTGGCGAAGGTTAAAATTGTTGTATTTTGTTGGATCCGTTTAGGAGAAAAACTTGCGCTCGATAATCGGATTGATGGAAGAAGAAAAAATTGCAAATGGTTAAGAGAAATCTTTTTGTTCTTATTTCTTAAGTGGAAGCATTTAGGAAAATAGGATAGGATCGCGTGACCGAACTCAGATTTTATTTATTTCTTCTTCAATTAAAACTCGATTGCCCCTCTAACGTTGTAAATAAAATTGCAGCTGGTCCAACAATAGGATTAAGGTAAATTCGAGGCGTTTACAATAACTCGATTTTCTCATTAGTTTACAATAATATAAAAATATCAGAAAATAAAACAATTATATTTCGTTTATGTTAAATTAATTTAGGGCGAGGCGCAAATTTTATGATTCACGTGGGACATCAAAATCATTCCAAATGTAAAAGTTTAAAAGCTTTGCTGGTTGGTGTTAAGTTATGACCGGAAGTATCATGTTTGTCTTTGATCGAATCAGAATTTATGGGCATTTATGGGCACGAATTTTCGAGTTATTTTCTAGTATTTTTCTATCAGATTAATTAAGTAATTTAATTTTTAAATAATAGATAATTTGTTTGATAAGTTAATTGAAAAATAACTAAGTTAATCCAACAATCGAAAGTTAAGCAATAAGTAATAAAATACGCCGTTAAAACTTTATGATTAGTTTTGGATGCTTTTCTTGTTGACAACCTACTTTGCTAGTTCACCCGTTCCTCGGGGAACTAAAGTCTAAATTCGTTCTCTTGACGAGATCGATTTTGTTCGGCACTCGGAGTTACGCTCCTCTCTATATCGAAAATGCTGTGTTTACCTCTCTCCCTTATCATCTATTATACGATATTATTTATGATATAACCGTTTGACTATAAATGTTAATCAAATTTGCTATAACTTGTATGAAAATGTATAATTATCTATAACAATATGCCATTAAATAATTATTCGAAAAGTCTAGTTTAAGTGAATAACGAACAGAAAAAAATCTATTGTAAGTGTAAGCTTACGTAGTATATATTAAACGTGTTATAGGGTTCTGTCTGTTTTAATTATATTTGTAATATTTTTTCGCGTGTGACATATCGTAAGTTCAGATATTCAGACCTACTGTTTCTTAGTGAAAGTCATAGCCTCGATAAAAATTGTGGATCGTTATATGGCCGCGTCTACACGAATAAAGTATGCTGTTGAAATTTTCATGAAACTTCCGTATCTAGATTTAATTGCATCATAAATCATGGAGCCAGGCGTAAATGTAGTTTTCTGTTGGCCGAATTTCTGTTTCACTTTATCTTAAAATCTCAATTTCGAGGTTTTTGCATAGAATGGTGTAAAATTAAAAACATGGAAGAAAGAAGAGAATTTCAAGAAGTAGTTCGAAACTTTTCTAATTTATAAATAATTGTTTTTTTACTTTGCTAAGTCAAGTAGCTTCAGCCACAAAATATCCACAATAATAGCATAAAATAGTGTTAAATAATATTTTATTTTATACACATATTTCTGATTTAAAAAAAAAAATTGACTTTATAGGGCAACGTGTGAATGACGTATGTTTTCATTGTCATTTGTCAAACTGAAAACTAGGAAGTAATATAAACACGTAATAAGAAAGAAAGTCTTCGTGACTGGAACCGCCCCTCTTCTGCATCGAACAACCAAGCGAAAGAACTAATGGCAACGAAAATAATCCGGTAAAAAAGAAGTCTGCAACCAACTTATTTTATGCCAGGAAATCTGAAAATTTAAAGATAAGAAAATTCTATGCCAATTAGAGGAGAGGGAAGATCTCGCAACATTCTAGTACAAAGACTCCGAAGAATAAAAGAGAAAAAGAAAGCAGTTCGCGTGGAATGATTTATAAGTTCCGCAATTAATAAGTTTTTTCTTTGAATGTAGAAATGATGAAAAAGAAATTTAATAGCATCTGATTCGATTCAAAATTTAAAATTTTATTTAATTCGAAATTCGATTTTCGTATGTAAATATAATGAATATTTCTTCTTTTATCGTTTATATTTTGTGCTTATCTTTCGTTTTAATTAAAAACGTCAATTGCTTGAAGTACAGATCAATAAATTAAAAATGTGTATACTAAAATATTTGTAATACGAAGGACGAGAGAATTCCACGCAAAAATAAGACTGTAATTTTGGAATTACATTTTCTGTATTTATGTTCGAATGAAAATACCTTAAAATCTTTAAAAATATCGCTAGAAATTTAGCTTTTGTGATTTTCGAAAATAAAGGCCAAATTTTTATTTCTGTGGAATCTAAAATATTTCCTTTTCCTTAGATTTTCCGAAATTCGATAGAGCAAATTTCCCGCCGAAAGAGAATAAGGAACAGAAACCGCCTCTCCAGAAACGGTCGATCGGACTGCGACAAAAAAAAGTAAGAAATAAAAGTGAATGCGCCAGACGTTTTTGTTTACCTACGTACCTGCCGCTATCTGCACGTGTCCCATTAATACGATCAGCATTCTTCTCTTCCTTTGCTCCTTGGACCACAAAGAAGGGAAAGCCAGAAGTCCGCAACAGGTCAACATGATGCATCCGCAACCGTACAGTACGCAAGAAGCCTGCCAGGCAGTAGAAGGAAAGTAAGCAAAATCTCGGCTGGCTCCAAAGTTGTGGCAGGAAAATTGGCGAATTCTGGGATAAGGATCGCGATAGCACACTCCGAAAACGCCCAATACGTACACCACCGTGTCTCGGTCGTAACGCAATATCTGCCTGGTTTCTGCGTCCTGTTCTTGTCGGACGAACCACTCCGGTTGTAGAAAGGCTAAGACGCAGGTGACGGCCACTAAGGCCGACAGACAGGCCCAGACGACGGCCACGGGCCACGAGGTGCGATAGGCCACGACGTGGACGCGCACTTCGCCTCCCTTCATGACTCGGCACCCATGACGACTGCCGCAACAGTTTCGCGATCCTCCTCCTCCGCCCGCGCCTTCGTTCTGCGCAGATGGTTCTACTTTCCGCGGGGAAGAAGTCACCGGGATGGTTGGACTCCGTTCTTCAAAAGAAACGGGTCGTACGATTTCGATCGAACCAAGCAGTCTACGATTAATCTAGAGAGATGAACACTCGAGGCTAGTCTCGTCTCTAACCCAAGCGGGGTGAACGATCGGCAATCGTTTCGACCGGAATTAACACCGCTCTAGACAACCGGAACGAAATCGCGATAAACACATTGATCCGGAAGGGGCGGCAGCAAAGTTACGTTTCCTGGAGAAAACGAGGTCTCCTTCAACCACTCCACAACCTCTTATTGAAACTTACTTTTTCTGCTTCATCTGTGATTTAAGACTTTGACTGATTGAGTTGAATCTCTATTTTTAAAAAATAGAGATTCAACTCAATCAGTCAAAATCTTAAAAAAATTTTTTTAAATGCCTACGCATTCTCTTATTTAGTTTTAATTAATTTATTTTTAGAAAACACTAATTTAAACCGTTAATTAATACTCTCGTAGACCTCTAGTCAATAACTGGACCAGTAGGGTTACGAGAACCACTTAAGTTCTTCCTTAAGTTCTTCAGTTCCTTTTACTATTTTCTTTTTCATCTATTTTATTTTATGTTATTTCCAATATCATAAACTTGTCGAGATTCTTTCTTGTCACATAAATCTCTGTCGAAAATTTTAAAGAACCGATTTCAGCCTTTTATAATACTATAATCTCTGTAAATATCAGTTTTCTGTTAACTCTTGTCGAACCTTTAAATATAGGCTATAATATCGGAGCTTCTCCGCTCGTTTTCCTTGGAACCGGAAATCACCGAATTCCGGACTGAATGTCGAGTTCGGTGGTACTTCCGACCGGAACGCGTCGACAAATTCCGGCCGTGACGGATTCTTTGGTCGAGGAAGTGGACACACCTGCCGGCCATCGGACAGAAAAAAACATTCCGAATGGTTTCGTGACCGTTTAGCGTGACTGTTTGCCTTTCTTTTGTTAGCTGCGACGTGACAATCGTTAAAAAGGGCGTAGCTGTCACATGTCTAACGAGGATGTTTGCGTTTTAAGAATTTCATCCTAATTGTTTTACCTTCATCTTTTGGATAAATGCAAAAAACTTTAAAAACAGATAAATACACAATTAGAAACAAATTTTTGGAAGAAACCGAATAAGCATAATTATTTTAGGCCGGAATAAAGAAAAGACTGTAAATATCTCGTGGGACAGAATTAAAATTCTGAACATTACGACTCATAAATTGCGATAAATTATCCGAAACCGTTGGAACAGATGCCAACTCGACCGTGCGTTTGTAAACACCATTGAAAATCGAGACAATGAACTGAAATATGATATCAGCAATATCCGTTATTTCCATATCGAATATAATATAAACTTATATTCCGTTTCCCGTGTTTAGTACTTGATTTTTGTACTGTCCTATTAAATCGCGTGTCGAAGGCATGCCATAGAATAGTTTCACCAATCCGAAGTTGAAAAGCTGGAATCGGAAACGTTCATTTTTATCATTCCATTGAACACACTGAAAAGGAAAGAAAGATAGGAAAAGGGACAAGAGCCTCTATTTTTGTCCGAATCTGTTTATAATTAAATTAGTCAATTTAAACGGCGACGAAGAAAGAGAACGTCGGACGGTTAATGCGACCGCGGACAACAGGTCGAACGGTGAATCAGACAGAGGTATCCATCTCCATGTTAATGGAATGAACAGGGAGCTTAGGGGCATCCGGGGTGTACCGCAACGCGCGGGGATTATTAACAGTGACGTAGCTGCACGGGCACGTGCAGAAAAGGCGCCCGCCACGTCACTCACCTCGGAGGGTGACTAAGTAGGCCCACTAGGTATCGTAGTGTCGGAATGATTTAACCGAGAAGAAAAACCGTTATTGGTAATCGAAATGATGCAGCTTCGCTGGAATGTCACGTGGTGTTGACTCATTCTGTGCAGCTATTTACTGGGAATTAATGCCCTACGACAATCTTTTTCTTTCATACCATTGCCTGCTTCTTCTGTCCGGACGTTAAATGATACAAATCTTCGTAATCTCCTCCTATGATATACGCTCTCTTGATCTTCGCAGTTTATTAGGACGAGCTCATAAAACAAGGCTTTGACTAGAGTGATTCTTCTCCCTTAATACTCGAAGAAACAGTAACCTTATTAAGTTCAAGGAAGAGTTTGGAAGAACCGACAGGTGTTGGCATCATTTCCGGTCCGAACTTGAAAAGTTTTTGATGGTGGGACCATTATCTGGCCAGAAAAGATGGTAAACGCTTTTTCACCTGTGGATATTCTCAGATGGGAAATCCTAAACAATCTTTCTCCACCAAATTAAACCAACTTCAGTCAGTCCAGTGACAGCATTCCGAATTTTGCTTTTCACAATTTTCAATTTTTAAAATTCAGCAGAAAAGCCCGGGCTTATTCTTGATCCGAACGAAGATAATCTTCTCGATTGTTTTTGTGTAATTTGTTAAGCCATCCTGTCGTCCTTTATTTCAGATATAAGTGCGAATTTATTCAGAAAATGCCAACCTTCAATCAGATATTTTGTTACTGATTGTTGGATGTGATGGAAAGAGAAATTCGATCACATTCCTTTCCTAAACGACGAAAGATGATGGAAAACGTATCCTTTAATTAGAGAGACTTAGATAACAACCCGCTCGACCCTGCGATTGACTCAGCGTGAATCATTCTCGCGTCGTGATAACGTCGCGGGTCGCGCTTCATCTCGCCGGAATTGAATTTCCGGAGAAGATCGACCTCGAGAATTTCCGGATAGTTTTGTCCAGTATCCGAATTGCAGATGACCTTGCAAACTTGGAAACGCCAACGTTTTGTTTAGAGATTCCCTCTTTAATTGCGTTGGCGATCGATATCGGTTGGGTGTTGACTTAAGTTAATGGGAAGTCTCCTCATTTCAGTTCAAATAAATTTAGCGCCTCTCGGAATCGCGAACGGCAAACAAGTGTCTTTACCAGTTGCAAGATCGGCTCGATTTTACATTCCCTCTGCTCTTTACGATAATTAACGTAGCGAAGAAATTTCCATCTCGGCAAACTTTTAAATTAATCAAAATCGCGACACGTCACTGAAATTTTTGTCGTCTACCAGAAACGGAATTGAAATTTTTCTGATTCTCCTCGGGCTTTTAAACTTATCTTCGTTCTTTACTGCTGCCAACGAAAAACTAAAGCTGTAAAATTTATCAAACCCACTCCTATCTTTCCCAACCCTTTATCGCGAAGAAAAAGAGAAGAGGCGCGCCCGCTCCAGCCATTGTCAACCATTCTGCCTTCGGAGGCATCTATAATAAGGTTTGAGAGGGTATCTGTCACCTCGGGCTGTGCGGCCCGACCCGCACGATAAGAGGTATAAAAGACGGGCTGAATGAGAGCGAAAAGGCGGAAACAGGGTTCCGGTATAGCGATCTCGCGTTCTACTTCCCGATATGTTACCAAACCGAAGACGTTTGTTATCTAAAAGTTCGTCCAGCCGAAAACGCTTTGTTCTTTCGACTTTCTCTAAAACCCGACTTGCAATTTCTCTCCACTCCAGGATCGGTTTCAATCGTGATTTATCCACCGTTTTAATTGTTTCCGTCGAATGTGCCTGACTCACGTCTCATCCATATTAATGAGCACGCTTATCCTCGTCCGAGGGGACGTTCTTTCCGAAGCGACACCTGAATCACGCGTGACGTGGCAGAGGTGTAGAGGAACGCGGCGGGTCTGGCATCATCCGCGCGACTCGAATCCTCTGACTTTATTGGCTAATAAGATAGTTTCGTTAGAGAGACGGAGCAGAAAGGCCGAGTTATTCGACCGAAGAGAAGCGATAAAGCCGAAGGGACGTCTTAAATCCCTGTAAAATTTTACGAGGAACATCGATAGGAGTTTTATCAATTCCTGGAGGAGCGACGCCTTTATGTTCCCTTCTCCCGTGGCTCCTTAGATGTCGGGAAAAGCCACATGTACAGGTTTCTTCCCTTTGGACTTTCAAATGACTTTTGCTTCCGTCCTTTAATAGCTGCGTCAGCTGTTCTTCACACACGTAAAGATCGAGGTCGAAAACATGCTTTTTACTAAAGACCCCACCCAAATTTTCCAATTTACATTTCAAATTATATTTTACCAATACGATTTCGAATGGAAACGGACTTCGGGATACAATTTTTTCTGAGATAATTTTACACGTGACTACGAAAACCCGTAACCAAAAAAAGTGTAAGTTCGACAAAAGAAACCTCGGATCGATGAAGAAGTGAAATTGACCCATTTATCCACTTCTAATTGTCTACATAATGGATTTTATAACCAAAAAGTACTCCACTTTTCCGCCATAAAAGAAGCATTAACACCGAGCTGAGCCGACGACAGACAAATGCTCTTAATTAATTTACAACTCTATCCTCTCCTTTCATTAACCGATTCTCTAATCGCCAAATAATGCTCGGCCAACTTTCCTCCTAGTCTGAGAAGAGAAAAGTTTCTTCTACCTTCGGAAGAAGGCAATAGTCGAATAGAGAACCGCGGGATTTTGCTCACGTACACGATTTTAATCGTATCTCTACGAAAATTAATTTTGTCACAGGGCGCGACGAAGGCGTCGTCCGTCACCTTTCTGCACCCAGCTCCGGCGACGCGCGCGCCCTAATTTGACACGTGTCACGAAATCCGTTACTTTATAACCCGACACTTCAGATAAGCCTAATGACCGTCCGTCACGTGACCGACCGTCTCCATAGAAACCCAACGAAAAGGTTCCCGAAGCATTCAGACCGTAAAACACACGGTCATCTCCAATGAAATTTTTTAAACCACTTTTTTTGGGGAGAAATTTTAAGTATTCCGACGACGAAGATAAAGAAAAGCCACGGATTAACGAGAGGTAAAGCCGGCGCCCCCTTTTTTTTTATAATCGACGGCGGAAAACTTAAATGAAAGGAAGGGCGCATCTTCAATGAACCCGATCTGACCACGTGACTCAGAATAAGGCAGCAGGTGCGAAGCCCGCTATGAATCAGCTCATCTCTTTATCCGAGGCGACAAAAGTCATTGCAATTCGTCCATTTAATCGACTCCGTTAATGACTCAACCTCCTCCTAATTAATAATGGAGAGTGCCAAGGAGTTGATGCGCCGGTTGCTAAGAGAGATAAAAAGATTTTTCCGGAATATTTCCTAT